ACACCTGTACTTAGCTCCTTCAGAAGTCCGCATCCTTGCATAGACATCATTTGTTCGTTCTAACGTTGAATACGCTAGCCTGATTTGGATCCCATGGCAAATAAATCTTACACAGAAGCCAGAGTCCGTACAGAACAAAGCTGCGCGTTTTATTTATGAAGACTACTCACACCCATCTAGTGTAACTGCCCTGAAATCGAGAGCAGGCTTGAAATCACAGAGTGCAGGCGTAGACAGGCGAGGCTTTTATTTTTACGTAGAATCTACTACTTCAACCAGGAACTCGGGAAACTACTTTTGCTCCCTCCGCACCGTATTTCTCCTAGGATTGATCATCCCTTCAAGAAAAGATTATCACCTAGTTGCACCAAACAATTTTCGGAATCGCCTTTGCAATTAGCCATTAAAGACTGGAACAGTCTACCTGAATCCGTTGCGGGTCTGGCGGGCGTCGCTCTTTCCAGAGACGCCTGTAAAACTTTGTTTAGTGACTAATATTTTTTTTTAAATATGCGTACTGTGCGTGTACACCACCTGCATGTTTTACCTTTATTGGTATATGCGCTTGCGTTACCACTGACTGTCGTCTGCTTGGTTAGTTGAAGCATACCGTATGCTTTCTTTTCTTTTCTTTTAAGTACGTGCTGATGTTTTGTCTTTCTCACATTCACGTGTATTTTGTATTAGAATATAGTCACCTTGTACCCTCCTCCCTCATGTAATGCCGTCGGGCGATTTGAGGACAATAAATGAAATGAAATGAGATGAAATGAAGGAATGAAAGTATCGACGGCAGTCCTTAAACTGGCAACTGACGTTTCATTAAGAGACTTACCGAGGAGTGACCTACCAAAAAACAAAAATCACTTTTAAACAAGTCATATGAAAATCATGTTGCTTTTGGCGTAAAACATGCGAGGCTCGTTAAGCGCTGTATGTCTCTATGCCTCATCCTTACAGCTGCATCTAAGAATGCATTTCAGTCGTAGAGCTTGATCACATATGATATTAGATGCTTTGAGCAAGAATGTCAAACAAATAATTTAGTGCGTGAGAAAACTTTCCACTCACACATAAGCGCCATTCTGTGCATTGAATGCTAATATGGTTTGTCCTTAAACGGATAAATCGCTTTTTTTTTCATAAATGTATTCAATTAGATAATGATCGTAATTATGATTATTTATTGTGACACTCGTGCTTCAAGGCTAACAAAACATCGCTGGAAGATGAAGAGAGGTAGTGCGACCTGAAGTAACCGGAAGGCGACCTTCCCCAACCTTTCCTCGCCTTCCAGTAATGTTCTGTCCATACTGAACTGCCAGGGCCTCTCAAAACACCTCGCAGGACTCGCTGCTTTTTCACCAGAAACCCGACGCTCTCACGGCAACATCCCCCAGTTTCTCCATACCACGAAAAGCAAACGGATTCGAAAGCATAAAGCAAGCAGCTGGGAACTGATATTAACAAATGGTATTTTCTATGTTGCCTTCGCTTTACAAGGTCCATGGTGTTGGAGTTAGGCGATCTTGTTCTCCCATTGCCGCCATCAGTGCGGAAATATTTGAGCTTTTTTAAACTGCCACTGACTTCAGAAAAGGGTATCTCTTCTTCAGTCTGGTTTGCAGTTCATGTTGAAATCGCCGATGTGCACGTACACGTGCTCACAAAAGCTCATTTAGTGCAGCTCGAAATGTTCACAGAATGACCGCCCTTAGCATAATGATACGTGACAGCTGCGCGCATCTCACCGTGCTTTCCTCTCTTTTCACGCTAAAAACTATTCACGGAACTTTTTTATTGCACCTCATGTTTTGTATCACTGCGGAAAAGCGTGTTTTTAAGACGGTACGGCGCTTTCGCGGATCTTACAAATATATTCAGGATTCGAGGTCCCGGTTTGAAAATTCACAAAGCGTCATTTGTCAGTCTGGGGCTTTTTTTTTTTTTTTTTTACATTAGTTTTAGATAGAATGTCAACTTCAAAGCTGTTTTTTTAGGTTCCACGTAGATGTTTCTGTCGTTATATTGAATAAATACCAACACCGCAAAAGTGGCTACTAGGACATCTCAATAATATACCCGGGTATATTTGTTCCCAAAATAATTCTGGGTTTTTTGTTATTTTTTCTGCTCAAAAAAGGGCAGGCGTTTACGACGAGCATTGATAACCGCAAGTATAAAATAATTATTGCATCATTGAATCTTCGTCCGACAGCCCGTCGCTAATGTGCACTTCATTGAGGCAGCACCTAAAAGCGAATCTTAGCACAGAATTCGTAGCACGCAGCCACACAAGTTGTTTATGTCGCAACAGTGCTCGCCGACAAACGCGACAGCACGCTTATGCTGTTTATAAATTATTCCGTTTGCCTTCGCTCGTGGTCAAGTCGACACAGTCTACTTTGGAATTGTTCGCGTTTGACAAAGCAGTCCGTGATTTGCTTCTGCATAAGCTCTTTCTCCTGCACTTACCAGCTGGTTTCAGTCATTTTACCGATTGTAAAAGCTCTGTGCAAATTTTGAATGACTTTTCTGATGCCTATGTTCCTTGGTCTAGTGTGCCCCAGGGGTATAACTTGAGATCACTATTATTTTATTATTTATTAATAATATTGAACTATGCGTGAACAATTCCCAGTGGTTGCTATTTGCTGATGACTTAAAACGTTCTTTGAATGTCCGGTCACTCGCTGACTGTGCACTATTGCAAGAAGGCGTGTCACGCGTCCTCATTAACCCAAAGCGCTATCAGTTTGTAGTAGACGGGAGGCCATTTGAAATGACTACGCCCTTGGTTCTACTCCTATTTGAAGTGTCTGTAATTCGCGACCTGGGTGTTCATTTCGACAGTAATCCTTATTTTTCGTACCGTGTCTCAACTTGTCGGTTGAACTGTAAGATTGCAGGGCATGATTTTCTGTTTGACCCAGGAATTCTTGAATCCATTGTGCATTATTCGCTTACATCACAGTCTGATTCGTTCCCGCCTTGAGTTTTTAGGCGTTGTGTGGAATTTTTTTACAACTGATGCACTGCAGGTTGAAAGAGTACAAAAAAAGTTGTTTAGGGTCAATAATTTGGGCAAAGGTGTTTTATGACTATACCTACATACTCGATACTTTCAGCTTACAGATGTTATTAAGTCGTGGAGTTCCGCGAGACATTTTAATTTTGCATGAAATAATTGACAACCAAATAGCAGCTTACTGTCTTCGGTTAAGTTTCACATACCTCTACGTTTCAGCAGGCATTCCTGTTTGTTTTATCCTGGTTCTCGGAAAAAAAGTTGTGCTAGATCACCCTCATCAGTGGCGTACTAACTTGTTTTTGAGTGGTTGGGGGGGGGAAGCAAGCCAGACCCCCCCCCCCCCCCCCCCCCAGGGCCGGGTGTGTTGCCCTTGGTGTCCCTTGAGCGCTGCCGGCCAGTGTTTGCCCCGCCCAGTGGCGGCTGTTTCGGGGGGGGGGGGGGGGGGGGGGGAGAGAAAAGCATGTGTTTTGCCCCCTCCTACTCTGAGAACTGGGAGGGCGGACGCTTGCCCCCCCTCCTGGTTGGTACACCCATGACCCTTATGTAAGTGTCTTTTAATGCCCTTCTACCAGATACGTCGTTAGATGTTTATACGAATTATGCGTTTTTTAAACGTGAACTTCAAACTCTGATTTACTCATCATAACCTATGTGTGTGTTGGGCAAGTTCTAGAATCACGAACGTGCTTCATATCGATACTTCGGTCGTTCAAAAGCATAACATAATAAACATTTATTATTATTATTATTATTATTATTATTATTATTATTATTATTATTGTTGTACTCCTGGCCGCTAGGTCAAGTAGATAAATAAAGCCCTAATTACCCCAGTTCAATTAGCTAAACAACCATTCGTAATGTCCAATAGCAAGGCAAAAAAAAAAGAAATACGATGCTAGGATACGCATGGCACACCTTCGTAGCCACGAAGGCATGGAAACACATACAAAACACAAGAAGGAACGCAGTATCGAATCTCATCATTTATAGCACGCCGTCAAACAAGGCGCCACAAGTGCACGACAGGATCAGGCCCCGCACGCATCACGTCAGAGTAATACCGCACCAAGAGCACAAGACGCGCGGCTCGGTAGCATTTTAAACTCTCTCGACTAAATTAAATACGCGTTCTCGGTGGCACGAAAATAAAATTACACTTTCCAAAGTACGTATTCTCAACTCCTCTACAGACAGTATTCACTGATCGTCATAGTTGATTCAGCATGGAACGAGCAAGTAAAGACTTTCTCAGCGCACGCGCAGAGTAAGTTTCCATTTCCAAGAAGGACAACCCGATTGCGGTGAAGAACCCGGCAGAATTGTGCACGACGTTTCAGAGAGCTACTCAGGCGTAAATAATACCGCATAAGTAAGCCACGAAACGCAGTGCAATCAAGTTTTCACGAAAGTCTATTTAGGTGGTGCCTTTATTATATTCAAATTTCGTAAATGTCAAACTCAAAAAAATAAATCAAGCAAAAAATTGTTTTAAAGCACAGGGATGAAACCGAAAAAAAAATTGTCGTGTTATCGCTACTATTCAAAGAGGGCATAACATGGAATAGAAACTTGAAAGCTTCATCGAGATGAACACACGAAAACAGATCCAGCAGATCCAAGCCTGTGTCGTACCAGCTGGGATTAGAACCGCCAGTCAGACTTTTTTTCTTCCTGAACACAAGAATAGCAGCTTCTATTTTTCTTTTTCTTTGTCTCTTTAACCTACATTAACAAAATTTGAGTGGGATACATGCACCACCTAAAGACACCTTTGTGAAAAGTTTTATTGAAATCTCTTTATTGGAATATTTATACGTCGTCTTTCTCGACGCCGGAACACCTTTCGAGAACACCCTGTAGAAGGTCGCTTTTGGCGCAATCGTCGGCAAAGCGACGCAACTATGTCGGGCAATGGACACCGCCTACCCTTGGTAGCCACCGAGAGGGACGCCATTTTCGCGCAAGGTCAGTCCCATGAGGCAGACTTGAGTCAGGAGGAGCCCGCTTTTGTTAATAACTACATAGTTCTAGTGTCGGCACAAAGTCAGCTGCCATTCACTCGAAGAGCCGAAGGCACGGAGCACAGTTGTAGCTAGTTCTCCCGGAGTAAACAGAGCAGCGTGAGGCAGAGCGCCAACAGCATCGAGGTGGCCGTGATCGCGGGAATGGCTCTGGAGTTTCCGGTGACGATCTCGTCGACGACGACGATCTTCCAGCCCAGGTTGGGCGTCGTGTAGCTCTGGTAGTAGACGACGTCCGGCGTGCTCTCGTTGGGCATCCAGGAGAGGATGGCCGGCTGCCCGTCGTCGCACTGCAGCCGCAGGGAGTTGCGGAACTTGGGGAAGCTGATGAACTCGTCCGCCTGGCGAGGCTCCGAGGTGTTGTACTTCCAGGCGCACAGCCGGCCAGCTGCGGGGAAACGAGCTAATTGATTAATCTATCGATTTATTGATTGATTAACTTGGTATTCACTGATTGATCGATTGACTTATTAATTCATCGATATCTTAGTAAGAATGCAGAATAAGATTGTTAGTTGATTGTAAGTGAAAAAATTTGGGTCATTAAATAAACAAATGAACTCTGAAAAATAGTATCATAATAAATATGAGAAAATATAAGCTATCGGCAAAAAGAGACCCCCAAATCAGTCAATTTTAGGGCATCGCGCGGGAGCGTGCGTCAAATTTACCACTCGTACAGCAGGCGCAAGGCCGGCAATACGAAAGCCCGGGCGCCGGGTGATATTCTCAGCATTCGCCTTTTCGCATCGGAGGCCCTGCGCCTGCTGCACGTGCGGTAACTTCAGTCACGGCCTCTCTATCCACTCTCCCGCTTCCCCACAGGAGCGCATTGAGCGGCGGTGCTTTAGTGCGCACCCGAGTTTCCCACATGCACGGTGTCCTCGAATTGACCAATTTAAAGGTTTCTGGTGAAGCTCAGTGAATTTCTAATTAGAACCATGTGCTTATTTTCACCAATTAAAAAGTGAACTATTACGTTTCAGATTTTATCTTGCTAAATAATGTTTTTTTTGTGTGTGTGTGTTTTTTTTTGTTTTTGCCAATTCCTGACGTCCATTATGGCTGGCAGTTTGTTCGCGAAAAGTGTTTATTTTATTCTCAAAAACCCCATTTTAAAGAAGTTTGACAATCCTCATGGAAACGTTCAGTATATATTTCACGTTTAAATCAAAATTCCTCAGTATCGAGGCCTTAGAAGGATCAATAGTCACCAGCTCGCCTGTTTGAGTATTTTTTCATCAACTTAGGACGTTTGGAACCAAACGAAATTGAAGATCTAGAATTACATTCCACTTTCTGTTTTATTTATAAATTACCAAAAAGGTATTCGCGCCATTTGTTGTTTACAGTACTCACGAGAGCACGTACCCAGATTATTGCGTTCAGTCTGACTGCACTCACCGGCACTGGGTTGAGGTCTTCCTCTTCGGTCGAACTGGACGCCGGCATAAATCTTGACACTCTGTTGATCAACGCGGAAAAAGGCGTTAGGAAACAATCGTAATATCGGAGATTTTCCCAAAAGCAACGATGGTTTTGAGTGCACTGTACTGAATGTTCAGTACAGTGAACATTCAGCCTTACCTGATTATTTGGTCTGTTTTTATTATATGTTGGTCGCTTTATGCTTCCTTGGGGTTAGGTTAGGCAGGTTAGGTTAGGCAGGTTAGGTTAGGTTAGGTTAGATTAGGTTAGGCTAGATTAGGTTAGGCTAGGTTGTTAAGTTAGGTTAGGCTAGGTTATCACTGACAGCTTAGGAAATATAGGGCATGTATTGAGCACCGAGCATCTCATTATACCGCTCGGCAGCCAATGAGATTGCTGCATCAGCCGATAGGTCACGAAAGCACATATCCCGCCCTCTATTTCTTCGGCTCTCAATGACCATACTATGTTAATGTGATCTGAAATGTCAATGAATATTTACGTGCGCGTCTGAGGAGGGTGGGTGCGCGTCTGAGGGAAGCGTGTGTTGTAACGACATTAAATCAATGAACATGGTTATATGGCTCATGGGAATGAAGATTTTACATTTACTAAACTTGCTTCACAAAAATCATGGTTAGCAGTTCTATGAAACCCAAAAATTATAAAAACATGCAACCAGAATTACTCTACTCTTGCAACTAGCAAACTTCCACATTATGTTTTGTTGCTGTTATTGTTGCTTTCTTTATAAAAGCCTACCCAAACTTTCGCTACCTGCTCAAACTTTGTCTATACACCTTTTCTACAAGGATGCAGCCATCTTGAATGTCGTCAGTCCGGGTATGCAGTAAAACATCGTTTTGATCTCTCCACGCCGCAGGAAGGTATTTACCAAAAGTGGGTGATTGCGTACGCCTTCTTGTTTTGCCTCAAATTATGTTTTCTCGCGTATTCCAGGTTGAAATGTTTTGTTTGTTTTTTCGTTCGCATACCCACGTGACTGAGGAACGACAGGAAACAAAAAACGTCTATAGACCTTTGCATCTCTTATCACCCGGCGAAAAATCCCGAGTCACTGAGCTGTGGACGCATGCGCAGCGCCAGATATACCGCACAGCATAGCAACAGCGCATGCTCAAAAGGCGTTCCTTAGCCTTACAGACAAAGATGGCGGCGCACAGAAAGTTTTTTTTGCAGAGGTCTATATATCCTTCGTTTCACATCGTCCAACCGGAGCCAACGCTAGGATCCAATGGAGCCAATCAAACAGGGCCGAAAGTGTATCGTCGCGGCTCTCGCTGTTGTTGTTTTGTTTTGTGTTTTTTTTTTTGTTTTTTTTTTTTTTTTGGGGGGGGGGTTGCTATAACCGGGCCAACCAATCACGCGCAGGAAAAAAAATCGCAGGATTATGGCGAATTCCCTTCCCGCAATCGGTTCAGTCAGGGAAGGGAAAACGTACAAAGGTGATGAGCGTCGTGACGATGCACTTCTGCCGCTGCTCCATTTGGCTTAATGGAGTAGTATAGCGCCTGCTGGCGAACAAGTGAAACGAAGTAGAAGTGCCTTGGTAACACTTAAAACTAACATTTGACGATACCTTTATTCGCTGTTTCTACCTATTTATGCTTAGGATTTCATGTTTTCAAAGAGTCTTGTTCGTCAAATTATAAAAAAGTGCTTTTCTAAGCTTTTTTTTCTAAAATATTTGTGTTTTTGGAGTTGATTTTTCATCAGATTCTCAAGTTGCTCTTTTTTTTTAATTTTAATATATTTTCAATTTTGTTTTCAGAATTCCGAATAAAAATGAAGCCTGGACACAAACATACCCTAGATTCGTCGGAACTCACCCGTATCGCGTGATATTTCTGCATTTGGCATTGGTGCTTTGAAATTGGCAATATCAACTAAGCCAAGATAAATACTTTGGTAAGAGTCGATACTCTGAAACCGTCGATACTTCGAAATAATTACTTCCGGACGTGGTCGCTGTAGGTGTGGAAGCTTCAGCTGCCCTCTCCTCTATTGAGATATACAGGTTCATACACATCGCTGTTACAAAACACTACCCCTCCTTCCTCTAAGAAGCACACAAATAGTATGGTCCAAACTAGAAACCTGAACGATGGCTTTTGTCGTGACCCAGACGTACTATGACACATTGCCCTCAAAGAACCTCGACCAGCTGAAACGTAAAACCGATTTCGTCTCAGGACCACTAACCCTGTATTCTTATAAAGTTTATTTGTAAAATGCCACCTTTTTTTCTTTTTTTTTTCTACCGTCGTGTTATATAAATTTGAAGTTTTTTAGAAAAGAAAACTATCTATGATGTTTTTCATTCTTAGATTTCCGCCTGCATTCCATGTGTAGCATATAGTTGTCTTTATTGTTTAAATAAATCATCAAAACATTAAAAATACAGTTTCTTACTCAAGCTTTTTTTTTCAAAATAGCTTTTGCACTAGCTTTTTTGTACCAGCCATGACTGTTGCCTCTGTTTGGCCACGTTTTGACCAGCCTCTTAGTAGAGGCAAGCACGATCGCAAATACCAATAAAATTGTGGGCCCAATACCGGGTGTCCGAAGTAGCGGCCAGGCTCTTTAAGTCGACCGCAAAATTCGGTTTCTCAACCTTTCGCGCTACGATTTTGTGCAACGTTGCCCACAAATTGTGTTTTTTTTTTTCTTCTAAAAAATTTGCAAAGAGCGAATTTATCTAAGAAAAAAGTAAAGAAAGAAAAGGGCTTAACTCCTATACACCAACTCAACTCTCCTACGTCACACCGCGGTGGTGGCGCGTCGGTCGCACTTCCGGTCTGGGGTGGTGGGCAGAAGTCGCGGTGCGAGACATGCATTCTCGCGTTCTTTTGGGAGAAACCAGACAAAAAACCTGCCTTTTTGTCGAAATGCTGCGACGGGGCTGTACCAAGAGGGTCTAGAAAGGTTTGAAGATCAGTTTTCATGTGTTTCTGCCCCCTCCGTTCGTCCGAGAACGTGGATAGTGGCCGTGAAAAGGTCAAACCAGACGCTGTCGAACTACGATTGCTTGTGCGGGCAACAATTTGTGGTCGCCAGATGTATTTGTTTTGTTCCAACATGAACGAGACAAAACCGCCAAGGTGTCCGACCACCCGCGGGTTCAGTGCGTCTTCAAATTCACACGGCCGCCTGATTGTCTGCTCTTTCGAACTTGTCTGCTTTTTGTCGTCTGCTCGTTCAAACAAAAGCGGCCCGTAGACCAAACTTTGACCCGGTGATTGCAATAAGCTGTTCTCGCAGGCCTCAAAAGACTTAAGTTGGCTCGGTGTAAACAGTAGATACAAGACATTGATCATAGGTACCAATGGAAATCACCGACTTGTTAGGCTTGGTCTGTTCCCGCTTCCGATTTTCAGCATCGACGTCGATCATCGCTGCTACCTTCTACACTTTTGCAACACGAGCGACGTTGCGACCGAAAAGAGCAAGAAGAATATTCATCATGGCTTTGGCGTCCATTCTGCGGCGTTCATACGAATGAATCGCCGCACTTCAAATTATTTACGCAATGTTTAGCGGTGTAACGAACCTTGATAATTTCGCTCAGGCGATTAAAGTGGTAAGACATATGGGGACGTAAAATCGACAATTCTAACGCGAAAAAGAGTATGCAGACTCACACAGACGCCGACAGCGTGACATTCCAATGGTTTGTTGACGCGGGACGCGGTGCCTCCTGCCCGCACTCCATTGCGCATCTGTTTGAACTGTCGTCTGCTCTTTCAAACTTGTCTTCTTTTTGTCGTCAGCTCGTTCAAACGACAGCGGCTCGTAAACCAAACGTTGACCCGGTAATTGCGATAAGAAGTAAGTGCAGGCCTCAAAACACTTTTGAAGGTTGGTTGGGGTAAGTAGGCTAAGTGTAAACAGTAGATACAAGATGTTGATCATTGCAGTGGCCGTCACCGATTTGTAATGCCCGATTCTACTTGCGGTTTTCAGTATCGACGTCCACCATCTCAGCTACGGTCCACACTTTTGCAGCCCGAGCGACTTCGCGACTGAAAATAGCGAGATAAATCTCATCGTGGGAGTCAGGCTTTAGCGCCCATTCTGCGTAGTCCACGTGAAATGAATCGCCGCACGTCACATTATTCACGCAAAATTTCGCGGTGTAACGAGCCTCGTTAATTTTGCTGAAGCCGCTCAAGTAGTTAAACATTGTTAAGAGGATGTAGAGTCAACAATTCGAACGCGAAAAAGTGCACGGGGACTCACACCGACGCCGACAACAACGCAATTAAATGGTTTGTTTATGGGCGACGGCGAGCTTTTTGCCCACCGTCCACGGCGCATGCGCGGCGCCGGTGGCGTCCGCTAGGGGCGCTCCGGTTTGTTTGCAAACATGAGTTGGTGTATAGAAAAGGCAGCGAAGCCACCGGTCTTCAAACCATAGGGCGCCCTATTGTTAGAAGACCGGTGGCTTCACTGCGTTTACATAGGAGTTAAACCTCTTTCTTTCTTTACTTTTTTCTCAGATAAATTCGCTATTTGCAAATTTTACAAAAAAAAATAATCATCTGTGGGCAACGCTGCACAAAATCGTAGCACGATAGATTAAGAAACCGATTTTCGCGGTCGATTTAAGGAGCCTGGCCGCGATTTGGGACACCCGGTATAAACAAAATAGCAGTTGGTATAGGTTTGAAAACAAACAGATCGGAGAGCATTAGTTGTATACCTTGTTTTACAAGCGCGAAATACTAAATTGCTTATCGAGACAGTACGCGACCATTTATTTAACATAATCAATAAAAGAACAGCTCCCTTACTTGGAGCTTCATACCTTGCAAAACCTTTAAAAAACGTCCTGAAAATTGTTGATCTTCGGTATCTTATTTCGCTGGGACCAAATCACTTAAAAATATCGTTTGTCTCTTCAGCGCGAAGCTATGTTTTATTGCCTAATTCACTAAAAGAATAAGAATACAGAACTTCAATAATGCGCCAGTGCGTCATTGTGTGTCGTTTGTTACCTTCTGCAAAAGCCCAGTTAGTTGCCTTTATTATCTGAATTAGCACACATTTTTTGCATACAGACACGGTCTTGATGTTTATACATGAAAGAACAAACCCAGTTGGTGCTAAAATTATTATTTTAAATAAATTTACGTACCAACTTCCAGCGTACTCCTGCTAGACTCAAAGCACACGCGTAGCAAATTCTTTACCGCTTCCCGTCAACCTCATAGTATTAAAATGTTTAGTCACTAAGCCTAATGTTCGGAATTTATTCTCGTTTCTAAGTGTCTATATTCTTTTCTCCTTTTCTCCCACGGTAGTTACCCTTATGGAGAATCAGGTAACACCCGTCAAACGGGTACTTTAAGAAAAGAAAAAAATCGGCGAATCTGCTTGCGAGCTTGCGCCTATCGGCGTGCGTGGCTCGCCAATATCTTGAAGGAGGTTGTAATCTTTGAAGCCTTTAAAGTATTCGTCTGACAATAATATAAAACACAAAATCAGAAGTAAACTGTTGCCTGCCCACCGGAAGAAAAAGGCTCGAGGTACACCTAAGTACTTCTTGTAAGTTCTGAATGCAAAAGCATGCATGACTTTCTTCCGCTCCCTGATTTCTTTTCGCCGCTTTGACCTTGGACGCTTCGTGTTACCGTGCAGCGCGGGACAAACAGCGCCGTAGGGTGGCGCTGTGTGTCGCGGCCAATGGGAGCCGCGTTCCTTGAAACTATGACGCATACCAGCCAATGAGACCGAAGCCGAAATCCATCAGATTTCGGCTTTACTTCGCTCCTTCGGGAGCGAGGAAACTAGGTGCCGTTTGGCTCGGCTTCTCGCATGGCTTCGAAGCTGAGAGCCACCAAATCTCGGCTTTACTTGGAGAAAGGAGTTTAGGTGCCGTTTGGCGCGGCTTCAAAGGTGATGACGTCGGATCACTCCATGGGACCCAGTTAATGCTTTCGCATTAAAAAAGAACTCGATAGCGCTCTTCTTATTATAGTCTGTAGCTGGTTAAGGATTGCAGAACTTGCGCCTCCCACAAGACCGTTCACCGTTTTCGCTTTAGGATTGTAAACACTAGGGGGGGGGGGGGGGGAGGAAGGGAGGGAGGGAGGAGAAAACCACCGGTCCTGGATAGTAAAGAGTCCATGGGAAGGGATTTCTCTTATCTTCTACTCATACAGAAGGTTATGAAACAGCTCACGAAAGAAGGCGAAAGAGAAAGAGACTAGCTACCTTCTTCTCTTCGTCGGTTAGCCGAGCGTAGCCCCCGATGGGACTGTCCGTGATGTACAAGGGATGGTAGTAGCGGGCATTGTGCGGGTTGTTGCCGCCTTCCACACGAAACGTGTACGTCCGGCCCCGCTGGACGTGCAGTTCGGGTACCAGGATGCCGTTGATGTACCAGCACTCTCCGGGGGTCGGGTAGCCTGAAATATAAAAGCACGCCGCAATTTTAAAAAAAGTATTTGATGAAGAGCGCGCAGGTCAATTTGATGTTTGGGCATGGTTGTCTACAATACTTTCACTCTCAGGTGGCACAGAAATGGTATTGTGTTTTTCAAACTGTCTTTAATAATTTACCAATCAGCGATATTTATTTAAATAGACTTGTTGCACAGCACCGATAATATGTTGCATGTCTTGCGTGTATAATATGTGTATTAGATGAGAGAGATTGTCTTGAACCTCTAACAATTGTGAAGTTTGTAGGTAAAACTACTTAATTTACAAATGTTTCTTTATGTGGGTTTTTCATATGTTATATGATTTGATATGAGTTTTATGGGTCCCTGATGTCTTGTTTTGTTTTTCTTGGGTACGTCGCTCAGTGAAATTTTTACAGCAAGCCTCAGACGTCAAAGGAGCGGAGCAAGCGGCTGTCAAAAAACCATGCCATGTACAGGTGCGTAAACAAGTGCTACAAAAAAAAGTCGCATACCCTAGACTCTGGTAATGCAAGCACCTCTCGAAGACGGGACTGACGGTGCTGCATCCCTACCTCATGTTATCCTTTAAATCACAGACTGCATGTTTTCTGCGACGAAGTTAGGATAACCTCACTACTACTGAAAGGGATTTGGCAAAGTGGTTCGAGACCTCCAACTGATAAGAAAAAGGGTAGTGAACAGGTCCAAGAATGCAGACGGGCAAAATATTATTAATATCTTAAAGCGGGTGCACGCAGTTTTTTTTTTTTTTTTTTTCTTTTAAACGCAAAGAAGCACTTATCTTTAAATAGCTTGCTTGATAACTATACTCATCACCCGCGCCAAATGATTGGGCTCTTACTTACAGCAGTGCGTACTTTTTAGTTTCACAAACATCTTTGCTTTAAAAAGTAAATTCACCTACATATTTAGAAAAGAAATATCTTAAAATTTTCATTTCAAAATATTTAGCTTATTTTTCTGAGATCCTTCATTCAAATTATTCCGATCAAGTGTACGCTACAAATAATAATGTAGGATTGCATAATATAAACTTTCCCGTTGGACATGTTAAATGAGGATTTTAACAACATCACGTTTTAAACTTGTAAATTTTTGGTGTCCACGAACTTATATTTTTTTACGTTTTAGGGATATAAACAATATGTGTAATGAGTTGAGTTTATTGTAAAACAAAAAAAGGGATAAGATCAATGAGCGATCTTTGCCTCTCAGTAAAGAAGGCAGTTGTCTTGCCTTAGCTTGCCTAGCTTGACTTAGTTTATGGAGAGGTGAATGGAAATATTTAACTCTGTCTATTTTAGACATTCTGTTATAAATCAAAGTTATATGTTCGTATACTCGATGCACACAGGCGTTTTCAACCCACAATCACGATTAACTGAGCTGCCTGAGAAAATTAATAAACGAGCTTTAGATTTTTACCGGTCTAGTAACGCGTAAGCTAATAGCTGCCAAAAAAAAATCAGATTGCGGAGGCCGTACCTATATTACGCTCCAATCGCACAGGTACTCATTACCGTATTCAACTCATTCGCAGCCCCGAGACGATCCAAGGTCGCGCACCTCATAAGAGACATGACCGATCATCATCGCTCACTGTTCCATCGCCTGTCCAGTGCGGCTGACCCAACTGCGGTTCAGAATACCTTAGCGGGTTATCGCACTAAAAAGACGATATTGTGAGCCGCGTCAATTGCACCGATGAAACGCAGACGCTTGCCTGTGATGCCCGCGTAGCCTTTCCAACCTCCAGAGGGTCCTATCCTGGCGATGAAGTTGTCCACGGATTTGTCTTTAATGCGGAAGGGCCCCCAGGGACTGGGACGTTCTTTCTTCTGACCAGTGCTGAACCCGAAGCAGTTGTCTGCGGCGTCCTTGCGGCCGAAGTTGATCTTCACCGTTCCTGGGTAAAGCAAATTCTAGCGGTTAGTGAATTAAGAATACATTCATACAACCAGAGGCGTACCAACTTGTTTTTGAGTGGGGAGAAAACCAAATCTCCCCCTCCCTTCCCCCCGCCCCCCCCCCCCCCCTCTTCCGGGTCGGTATCCCTTGGTCGCCGTCGGCCAGTGTTTGCCCTGCCCGGTGGCGGCTGTTTCAGGGGGGGGGGGGGGGGGGGGGGGGGGGGGGACATATGCTTTGCTTCCCACTCTGAGAACTGGGGCAGCAAGCGCCCCCCTTCCCCCCCCCCCCCCCCCCCCCCCCCGGGTTGGTACGCCCATGCATACGACAATGTCCACATCAGCCTCTTTGCTGATATGCATTGGTGTAGCGGTAACCGGGGTGTATCAGTTATTTTTCGGAAATGACGGCGAATATTGATAGTCAAGTGGACAAAGTAGTATACTCACGCTGACGAACCATTGAACAGAATCACTTTATATCTCACTTTTTTTGTTAGCAAAGCATAATTTTGTCAAGTAAATTTAACTACTAGTATACCAAACTCGAGGAATGTCCACTCACAGAAAAAAAGGGTATATTCTTACACCCCTTGTCCCATAGAGACACCCCAAACCTTGATTTCGACGTACTGTGCACTGACGTGCCACAGACGGCCCCAACTTTTGCGAGGGTCTTGAGAACGGTGATATATATTTCATTAAACAGGTGAAGTATGTATCGAAGACTATAGGAAAAAAACACTGAGGTTTTGCAGTAGGGCCAAGAAAACCCCGATTATTTTGTTTATAGTCAGTAACACGTACGTTAGCTACTTTAATAAGTTATACCACTCGTCTATAATGCCGCTCGTAAAAGTTGGCACCGTCGGTTCAACATCAGTGCGCTGTATAGTCGAACTGAAGTTTTGGGGTGTCGTATCCGGGACAAGGGGTGTAAGAATATACCCTTATTTATTTATTTTTTTCCTAAGAGTGTACTTTGAAGTCGGGAGTTCTACTTTCTTTGTACCAGACAAAGACACTTTTAAGTAAAATACAAGTACATACTCGAATAATGTACTTTAATTAGAGTACAAGTTTTCTAGCCCTATTAGAAGTAGTGCTTTAAGTACAATATGCTTAAAGTACTTCCCAACACTGGAATACTTGTATGCAATATTATGCCGGTAAATTAAACAAGGATGTTTGAAATCAGACCAAACATCAGTTGCTTATCGTCGGTGTGTCACAAAAAAATCAACGGTTTTCTTGTTGCATTTTTATGATTAATACTTACAATGAGCTCACCTGTAACAAAGGCACAGAGTACTAGCGAGTGCCTACAAATTTTTAGCGTTTCAGGAAAATCTCAGTTACGTGGGGCCTACATAGAAAACAACCATTAACAGATTGCAGGTGCACGTAGATGCGTACGCTAACTGATAGCGCGGCAGAAGCAAAGAATGATTTAGAGTTCGTATAGTGTTGTCTTTCCAGCTTACGTAATGCAAGCGTTACTCTCTCAACCCGGGTTCAACTGAATGACATGCATAAAACCTGATTAAAACATTCCCTGTTCTCGTTTTATTATCACTCCGATATCTCTGTTTTGACCGAGATTAGATGTTTCGGGCCTCGAGTTCTGATTTCTGATCTTTCTGATAAAATAACCTATTCTATGCACAAAACATTCATAGGGTCTCTTATGTTATCCCTAAGACAACTTCAAGCCGAAAGCCCAAGCGATGATGTAAGCGTGATAGCGAACGTCCGAAGACAGCGCGCTCTCTGACGACGCACCTTTGGCGCCGTTTCAGTGGTACCTTTCGTTTTGATACCTTCCGTGTCGCCGACGTGTTTTCGCTCAAGGTGTTTGAAGGTCGACTAAACGATGAGACATGAGACATATGACGCTTTCGCCTTAATAAGTTCCGGGGCGTCATCTTGAAGCGCTCACGTGGATCGACAAGTTATCTTTTTCCGCAACTCTGTATCTCGTACGCCAATCCACAACTCGATGTCGCAACCTCCACTCAGTTGACCTTTGTCCACCGCGCGATCAAAAAACTAGAACCTTCTCTATAGGTCATTGAGGGCGGATAGCCAGTTGTGTGAGCTTAAGCAAATTAATTGGATTGTTACTTGGGACAATATCTACGGATATTGTTTAACTACAAGATGCATTATGAATGCAAAAGGCGGAGCGGGGGGGGGGGGGGGGGGGGGGGGGGCTAAACACAAGATTGTTTTGTGTTTGTCCACTCCTCTTGGGTTTTATAAATGTTTACAGATATGCCGTAATTGTTATTTTCGAGTTGCATTTTTGTAATTGGCAATCGTCTATATTTATTGGAGAAGTGCGAAGAAAAAGAGAAAATACAGAAAAATATTCTAATTGCGAAACCGTGAAGTATTATCATCATGAGTACAATGTTTCCTAACTTTTATACAATGCTACGGGAACAAATAAAATAAAAAAAAACACTCCCCGTCGGGGAATCGAACCCCGGTCTCCCGCGTGACAGGCGGGGATACAGACCACTATACTAACGAGGAAGACATAGGGTGTGCAGTACGAGTGGCAGAATAAAATGAGTATGTTATAAAATGGGGTGCACTGCCTGGTAGTCGATAGACTGATGTATAAACTGTATGTTCTCGGAATAATGTATAACAAACCTGCGCGGACTATCTGTTATTTCTTTATGGCGCAGTATTGTGCGTTTTCCAAATATCTCCTTTGCAGACATAAGAGCAAAATGCAGGGCAAGGTGTTTCTTTACTAAGGTCCTCATTCTCCAGATGCGTTGTCAATGTGAACGCACAATTCAAGTCACTCAAACATTACAAGACTTAATTTTAAGAAGTATAATGTTAGATTGTGTGTCAAGTTATATGCAATGTATCAAGCTTGCACAGAAATTTGAATAAACATTTAATGGTTATACTTGGTGATTGTAGATCAAACGATTTCGAGCTAAAACATGGCAAATATTACAAGCCTTTATTTTTACACTAAGAAGTTTAATTTTCTTTACAGATGCTGTAAAATTGTATATCAACATTCACTAAAAAAAAAGCACCCGCACGTCCCGAACTTGAAACTTCTGCACAAAAATGAATGAGTGAGAGGTGAAGTCTAACGCCTGGATGTGTGGATGTTCCTTTTAAAATTATTTGCTCGCATTCAGGCTTTTAGCCACGTCTCCGCTGATAAAAATCCAAATGCAATTTTGCAAGGTTGATAGCGTCTAGGAATATTTAGTGACAGGACGACGTTTAGCGAAATCCAAAATTGATATTCTTTTAATACTTAATTTGCTTTGGCATATCTTAAAGCTCTTTCTGAGTTGTATGGCTTTGTTTTATACATGCAATGGCATTGTTCTTATGCTTGTTTAGTCAATTGTCCGCTATTTCTTTTTTTTTTTTTTTTTTGCTTTTTGCATATTTTCTGTAGCCCGACTTCGGCTATGTGCTCTTTGTGGACACACGAAAACTTAAAACTATTTTACAGCGCGTTTCGCCGTGGCCTTCACGGCGCACTGCAGTTCTAGAGCGCAGCTCTTAGGTGCCTGTTTCCGGGTTTCGCGGCGTCAGCGTAACCGCGTTAAATTTAGCGGGAAAATTGACGTCGCGTGACCTTAACACAAATTCAGTTTCTCCGCTAAATTTGGCGGGAAAAATGACGTCACATGACCTGGTTTCACGTCACCTATGAACAAAGTCAGCCTCTCCGCTAGATTTAGCGGAAAAATTGACGTCACGTGTGGAGCAGGAGGAGGGGAAGCTACGGAGGAGGAGGTGGGGAAAGGGGGGGAGGAAGAAAGGATGAGTAGGGGAGAGGATGAGTAGAGGAGAAGAGTAGGGGCTAGGAGAAAGAGGGGGAGGAGTAGGGGCGAGGAGGAGGATGGTAGGAGGGGGAGGAAACGAGGAAGGACGAGGAGCAGAAAACGAGAGAAGGAGCGGAGGATTAGAGGGTATGGAAGAGCAGGAGCGGCATACCCTCTTGTCCGTACCTTCTCTTCCTTCTCCTCCTCAAGAGCTGCACTCTAATTTCGTGTTACAGAGATTTGTAAACGTCTTAATTTTTTGTAATGCTGAATGGCTAAAGTGCTTATTGCCGAATATAAATTTAAATATTTAAAGCATACCTTCTTAAACTGGGTGATCAAGGGCCTATACTAGAGCACTGCACGGGCCCGGGCCAGCCCGAAAGCCCGAGCTCGCCCTCGGGCCGGGCTCGGGCTTGAAAAAAAATTATTTCAAGCCGCGCCGGCCCGGGCCGGCCTGGGCCGGGCCTGGGCCGTGCCTGGGCCGTGCCTGGGCAGTCATGTGCCGTAAATTCTAAATTGTTGAGAACAAAAAGTTTCCTCATTCATATTTTAGGTTCATTGAAATAAACAAGGCGAAGTGCAAAGTCCCTACAGCGCCGTTCACAATAAAAAAAAACAGGCGTCTTGCACTTAGAAAGCCTCCAAGCGGATAAAAGAAAACGTATGGACTTTACCAGCATAGTGGGAGAGTGCGGGCAAGAAAATGAGGGCACTCCGGTCACAGGGTAAAACGCGATTGTATTTTTCCTCCGCTTTTCAAAATAAAAAAGAAGAAAAAACGTGACCGTGACTTTGTACTTTCTGCTTGTACTATATGCCATCAAAGACAAGCTAGCGTACCCTAGATATTTTTCGTTGTTTACGCAGCCTTTTGAAGATGCGCCAGCGCGGTTGTGATTGTCTCCACTTTTCTTCTAGAATCTTTCCGTGTTCGAACCGACCAATAGAATCGACCTCCGTCCTGCCCGTGTTACCAACCGTCCAATAAGAAATAGACGCTTGACGAGTCCATCTTTCCTGAGGAACTTTTCTTGTATTGTCATTTATTTTCTATACTGCCACTTTCTGTCCCGGTGGCAGCAATGGAAGGTGATGCGCCAATATCGACAATCGGCGAGCTTAGCACTGTAGCAACTAGCGATAGATGGCGCCACGTCTCCCAGCGGTGCCGCGTTTTGAACACG